CTTCGCTGCAACCTGGCAGGTGCTTATGGGGTTCTAAGGCCCAGGCCCCCGGGATACCGACAGTTCAGGTTTGAACTAAATGCAACGCTGGGGCGTGTGCTTTGTGTGTTTTATAGAAAGAAGTCTCTAGCTATCGTAAGAGTCTCAAAGCGTGTAAAAGTACTGGGCACTCCAATCTAAGCAGCACTCCCCTCTCTCCACTTGGGGGTGGACACCCTGCTCCCCGGCTGGGGAAGTGCTCACGGATCAGATCGCGGGCCTACCTGCGGCACAGTGGTTAGCACAGTGCAGAGGAAGCGGGACTCCATGGCCCACCGGGGTGTGAGAGGCTTCAGCAATTGGGGTGCTCCCACGCCCAAGATCCTGACAGGATAGAGAAATGAAGAAAAAAGGACTGCAGTGTGTCCAGGCCCTGGTGGAGTGCTCACTCACCCTTTTGTGCCCTCTCTCTCTCTGTCTCTCTCTGTCTCTCTCTCCTTCTCATGCACATGTACCTTTTAGCATCAAAAAATGCAGATTCTGATTTGGGGGTTGAAGGCAGATGGAAATTCTGCATTTCTATTATCTGCGAGGGAATGCCAAGTCTCTGGACCACCGGCGGGGTGGTGAGCGCGTAAACCCATCCCTGCTCCCAGCAGCTCCCCCCTTCACCTAACTGCCTCGGAGGCTTCAATTCCCAGCTCAGTTACTTGCAGCCCAAAGTGTCCTCAGTGAGACCGCCCTCCAGAGAGGCCTGAGTATGGCAGGGAGGGGCTCCCGCCCCACACAGGAGACAGAGGCAGCCTGGGGTGGGCTCTGCGCTCCCTCTCAGTCCCAGGTACACCTCTCTGGTCCCCTGCCACCTCCTGCCACTGACCTACTGGAGGACTAGGCTCTCCCCAAGCTCATGGATGCCATCACCACAGCGCTGCCTGCTGGCCCCAGGGCACCAGGGAGCTCAGTGGATACCACCTCCATGAACTCAGGCCGGGCTCCTCCACAGCTCAGGGCCCCTCCTCAGCCTCCTGCCCTGGGAGGGGCGGGGCGGCCAGGCACAGGCTGGGAGCCCGATGAAAGGACTCCAGAGGCTCGGTAATCAAGATGAGTCATATTTTAATGCAACATTTAAAATCAAAATTAGTGATCAGATATAAAAGTTGCAGTAAGGCAGGGCCCGATTTCCTGCCGGTTGCCACCCCCCCTTTGGAAGGTGGG